ATACCACTTCTGACTTTTGAGTTTTAAATCCAAAACATATATACCAGCATTTTTTTTCAGATGGTCATATATACCACTTCTGACTTTTGAGTTTTGAATTTCAAATGATTAAATTTATTTATTTATTTTTATTTTTGACAAGGGTAATGGTTAGGAAATTAGTATGAATTAGTTGTTAGTAACTGGGAATTTGATTCTCAGATCGCATGAACATTTCAACCCCTTAAATGAAGCGCGCGACTATCAAGCCGCTTTTTAGTGGAGTTTACGGTGATAGTAGAATTCAAAATTTCGACAACCTCATCCAAACACATAAGGGTTGGAGTCAAATCATTAAAGTTAAAGGTTTGATTTCACGAATGATTAAATTTAGTTTTGAAAATAAAAAATTAACTCCAAGAACGAATATTAAATTAGAATTTACGCCCCAAGGTGGCCCAGGTTTCGACTTTGTAAAGAAAATAGCTACAAAAAGTCAAAAACTAATTTATAGGCCTTGAAAGGAGCCTATACTTAACCCGTTCCCTGTATGAAAAGAATTGTTGAACAACCACCTCTTTTCATATGATAGAAAAATATGAATGTAAGTTAGCACACATTTAATTATTTAATGTTATGTTTGTAAATAAGTCTTTTATTTTATAATTTAGATTATATTAAATAATAAAATAAAAATAATTAAGAAAACACTCAATATAAAAAAATATGTCTCTCATTTAAAGGTTTTTATTGTATAATTTAATATAATTTAAATTACATAATAACTTCTTTTTTTTTTTATAGAGAACTATTTGTGAGGATCAGTTTTCATGAACAATTGTTGTCATTTGCTTTATGGTGGTTAAAGAGTAGCATTCCATCACTTAATAACAAAGACGCTTGAGAATCCCACTAAAGCGTTTAGATGACTGCGCGCCTCATGTGAGGGGTGGGATGTTTATTCAAGTTTGGAGATCGAATCTCCGGTTATTAACAAGTACTAAGAATTAATTTATTAACTATTACCTTTGTCCAAAAAAAAAAAAAAACGTTTGGAACTTTTCTCTCTACAAGCTATTTCATGGATCACTTTCATACTACTAAATATGAATTTTCCTTTCCACTCTATGGCTCTTCTTTCTACACTTGTAGATATTATCAGTTTGGCTTTTACTTTTTTATGTTAGTGCTCGAAATTCTAGGAAGTGTAAGTGGCAATTATAATGGTAGTTTTTTTTTATAATGGTTGTTACGATAGTGGAGGAGAGGTTTTGCATGAGACTTCCGGGTTAAGTGGGCTGATGGTAGATGAAGATGGTGACCGTAGCGATACTGGTTTAGGTTCACGTTGCTGTCAATGCTGGACTTAATAGTAGTACTATAGACCATAGGATGCGATTGCTTATGAAGGACCACAATCTGTACTCTAACCTAATTCACAAGTTTCACATGCACAAAAATTTCACACAAATAGTGACTAGAACACTAAAGTAATGCTTAATATCATCAAATATGCTACTGTTATAATTCTAATGGTTCATATAAACTTAGCTCATAACTTAAAAAGGAACTTAATATCACCTCAAATATGATTAGGAAGCTCTTGGAAATAAAATTGATTGAGTTGCGTTAAACTCTAACTCTCCTTACTTTGGAAAAAAGCACATAAAACCTATCTGGATAGAATCTAAGTAATGATTAATGAATTTAAACTGTTTAATTACTTGAGATTAGAATTGAGTGACTAAGGACAAAAGTAATAAAAGACAAGTGAGACTCATCATAGGTTAAAATCATGTTGAACTCAATTCAGAAACACGTTTATGTCAACCCTTATAGAATCGTCACCCTTCCACTAGTGGACCACATATGACGTTGCACCTTTTCGATGGTCGACAAACCTACTTCCTCAAATTTGACCTCGACACTTATATGAATCTAATAAATTTTTATTTGACAGTTAGATATATATTACCTAACAAAATATAAGCGAGATGAATCCAAATTTCAAACTTTCCTGTCCTTCTTTCTCTTTTCTACCTAACACCTATTTTAGTGAAATCCAATTTGATTTGAGCGCCAGAAGACATGTAGGAGAAACTTCCAATGCCTGTCCTAACGAATTTGTTGTTCTTTTGTGCCCACGCAGGTTCATCTTTCCATCCAAACTCTCAGCTTTTTGGCTTAGCTCAAAACCCAACATCAATGCTCAAGGAAAAAACTAGCCGAAATGAAAACTTCATGCAAAAGCCCACTACACTATATAGACTTATAGCACTAAAATTAATGTCTCGTCATGATTTAAAGTTCAGCAGCACAAGATGCAGGAGACATACACTTCACAAAAAGCAAACAGCCTTCCTAAGGATGGCCGCCAGCTGTCACAAAAGGCAAACAGGAATATACCTTGTAAAGGATGGCAACAGTGCGAGACGGGAACAGAGGGACCAGTCAGTCGTATGTGCCACTGTCCATGCCGACGTCCTTGAATGCGAAGATCCCTAGCTATTTAAGGTGTAAATTCTTCCACGTTCTCCCATTAGCTTTGAATCTTTACAAACTTAAAAATCTTCGTTGAGATTAATTAAGAATATACACTTAAATTTCTACAATATCAACCAGGTATTTATCAATGTAAAATAATAATAATAATAATAATAACATTGTAATTATAAGTTGCTTAATTTCCTTGTCTTCATAAATATATACCTAATGGAGTTAACGAAAATTGAAGAGAATATAACCAATGATTTAAATGGCCAATATTAATCCCTTTTTAATAAAAATAAAAGATTTTAGATTCAAATTGAATGATATATTATTGAACTAAATTAATAAATAAACAATAATTTATATATGTTAATTTATTAAAGGTATTAAAATTTTTTATTATTATTTTGATATTTTAATTAATAAGACAAATTAATTTTTTGCAATTCTAATAAAATAAACAAAAAATTATTTTTTTAGTTCATATTATATATATTAAAAATACAATTTAGACACTAAAATTTACTTAAATATATTTAATTAAACTCTTTCTTATTTTTACTTGATAGTTTAATAATTTTGGTGTCTGGATTATATTCTTAAAATGCAATCTCGACTAAAAAATGAAAAATCTCTAAAATAAAATAAAAAAAAATTAATATGCAATTTAAATTACACAATAAAAATAATTGAGCTAAAGACACATGATATTTCATCTATGATTCATAATTGGATTGAGTTATGTAGTATTTAGAAAACAAAACTTTGTAGTTTAAATGGTACCGAAGTATAAAGTAATAATTCTTGCATTTGGAGAGGACCACTTACATTGGATTTTTATTAAGTATATTGATTTTACAATTTAATACAGTTTAGTTTAGATGACAAACCAAAAAAAAAAAAGGAAAAACGAAACTCCTAAAGACCGTTATGCGACTCGTTTTGAACATGAATGCCGATTGAGAGATGAACCTGTTCCGCTTACTATTGTACCTAAAACCCATTGAAAGATCTTGGAACAGCGTCGCCTCTAGCTTCTCCACCTTATCACCGGCACTTCTTGCAGTTCAGAATTCATTTATTTCATTTCCAAAACCCCAATCTAAAAGGCGCGAATTTGCTAACCTCCTCCAACAACCAACGTCGGAAGACTCCCTTTTGTATTACAAGAACATCCATGGCCAAATCGTGGTGTCGGGTTTTGAATCAGACACGTTTCTTGCCAACATTCTGTTGAAGTGTTACTCGAGATGTGGCAATGTAGGTGATGCACGGAAGTTGTTTGATAAAATGCCTGAGAAAAACTTGGTTACTTGGTCCTCTATGGTTTCCATGTATGGTCAACATGGGTATAGTGAAGAGGCCTTGATGGTTTTTTTGGCGTTTAGAAGGAGTTCTGAAGAGAGTCCAAATGAGTATATTTTGGCGAGTGTAATGCGTGCTTGTACTCAGTTGGGGAGTGATGGAGCAGTTCAAATGCACGGCTTCATAATTAAGAATGGTTTTGAGCAAGATGCTTATGTAGGTACTTCCTTGATTGATTTTTATGCAAAAAAGGGTGATCTACATGAGGCAAGATTGATTTTTGATAGCTTAGATGTGAAAACTGCGGTTACTTGGACTACAATGATAACAGGGTATGTTAAGAGTGAGAAGAGTGAAGTATCGCTACAATTGTTTAGTGAGATGAGAGAAACGGATGTCACTCCTGATAAATATGTGCTCTCTAGTGTTTTGAGTGCTTGCTCAACTCTTGAGTTTATTAAAGGAGGGAGGCAGATTCATGGTCATGTATTGAGGAGGGGAACAGAATTGGATGTTTCAGTGGTTAATGTGTTGATTGATTTTTACTCCAAGTGTGGTAGAGTAGATATTTCATGGAAACTGTTTGATCGAATGGTGGATAGAAATGTTATTTCATGGACCACAATGATTGCTGGGTACATGCAAAATTCATTTGACAGGGAAGCTGTGAAGCTGTTTGCCACAATGACCAGGTTGGGATGGAGGGCAGATGCCTTTGCTTGCACCAGTGTTCTCACATCTTGTGGTTCACTTGAGATGCTGGATGTGGGGAGACAAGTGCATGCTTACACTGTCAAGGCCAATCTTGAGTATGATAATTTTGTCAAAAATGGTTTAATTGACATGTATGCAAAGTGTGATTCCTTGACTGATGCGAGAAGAGTTTTTGATACTACGACTGATCACAATGTGATCTCTTATAATGCCATGATTGAAGGGTACTCATGCCAGGAGAAGCTATCTGAAGCAATAGACCTTTTCCACAATATGAGGATTAGGTCATTCTCTCCAAGTCTCTTGACATTTGTTAGCCTTCTTGGTGCATCAGCTGCATTATGCGACATTGAACTCAGCAAGCAGATTCATAGTCTTATCATTAAATTTGGAGTTTCTTTGAACTTGTTTGCTGGTAGTGCTCTAATAGATGTTTATTCCAAATGTTTATGTACAGAAGATGCTAGACGTATATTTGAGGAGATGAATGAAAGAGATATTGTAGTATGGAATGCTATGGCTTTTGGCTATACCCAACAATTGGAAAATGAAGAGGCTCTCAAACTTTTCTCAGAATTACAGTTATCAAGACAAAAACCAAATGAATTCACTTTTTCTGCTCTATTGACAGCTGCTAGTAACCTAGCCAGTCTCCAACAAGGTCAGCAGTTCCACACACAGTTAATAAAATGTGGTCTGGACTCTGACCCCTTTGTCATAAATGCCATCATTGATATGTATGCCAAATGTGGAAGCTTTGTAGACTCTTACAAAACATTTGATTCGGCAGTTTGGAGGGATGTTGTGTGTTGGAATTCCATAATCACAACGTATGCATATCATGGAGAAGCTAAAGAAGCTCTTAGGATGTTTGACAGGATGATCGAGGGAGGAATAAAACCTAACTACATAACTTTTGTTGGTGTACTCTCAGCGTGTACCCATGCAGGGCTTGTAGAGCAAGGGCTCCAACACTTTGAATCAATGCTTGCATTTGGGGTTGAACCTGGGATTGAACATTATGCTTCTGTGGTTTCTCTTTTGGGTCTTGCTGGTAAACTATATGAAGCAAAAGAGTTAATTGAGAAAATGCCAATTGAACCAGCAGCAGTGGTGTGGAGGAGCTTGCTTAGTGCATGTAGGATTGCTGGTAATGTTGAATTGGGAAAATATGCAGCAGATATGGCAATTTCCTTGGACCCAATGGATAGTGGTTCATACACATTACTCTCAAATATATTTGCATCTAAGGGTATGTGGGCAGATGTTAAGAAAGTGAGGGAAAAAATGGACTTAGATGGTGTGCTGAAAGAACCTGGGCGTAGTTGGATTGAAGTTGATAATGAGAGTCATGTTTTTATTGCCAAGGACAGGACTCATCCTGTTGCCAACTTAATATATTCAGTTTTGGACAATTTGATTCTTCAGATTAAGGGTGCTGGTTATGTGCCTGAGACTGCTACACTCCTTATTAATGAATGAAGATAGATGTGGCAGGAGTCGCGTGCCAGACAACAATATACTTTTCTTTGAGGTTCAAGTAGAAAATGATTACTGGAATGCTAATTTGAGGGATGTGTTAAAATGGATCAACTCAGGCTGCTTGTATGTCTACTTGATTTCTTTTTTCTCCTTTTAGAGAGGTAAATTGTTTTGCTTTATTTACTGCATTATTTTGTAATGCGGAAAAGAAAGCTTCTTTTGAAATATATAATTTTGATTTGATTGATTTTATGTGTATAATGTCTCAAGGTTCCAAGATGCATTTCAATGTGGAGCAGAATAGTAGTCTCTAGAAGGAAATCTTTTAATACACTGACCAGCAGAACCCAGGTACTCATATCATCTCAATCCTTGCTGCTTTTTTTGATTCAATTGTCTTTAACATTTTAATTAATGTTTTGATAAGTATATTATTTTTACTAACTCCTGATTTCTGGAGTTGGCACAGCCATTTTGTTTATTAAAAATGAAATAAAAAAAAAAAGGAAAGAGAAAAGAAAGAAAGAAAGAAAAAGTGTAAGCTGGTCAGATGCGTGCATCATGGCAGTGCAAGTGCACTAGGGCTTGCTCAGATTCAGCTTACCCTGGAAAGGTGATAATAATGAGTTCAAAATGAAATGTTTTTGCACTAGTTCAGTTGACCTTTTATGCATTGCTTTTGAGTACTGGTATCAAAAATAAAAAAGTATATCTATTTATTATACCTCTGTTAGCCGGTCCATTTGTAAATACAAGAGCAAAGCAATCTTCCACAACGTTGAAGCAAATGCTTATGCTTTCTATTGCATATAAAGATCTTTCTTGCAGGGAAACTTCCAGCTTCAGGACCTATCTCAGTATCCATACAGCCAGGACACAAAGGATTATTCAGAGGTCTCCATAGTAAATTAGTAATTCTTCAATATAGGATGTAGCAAGGAGATCCTGGACACAGGTTTCAAGTGCAGGAAGCTTCTGAGTTATTGCTGAAGAGAAATACAGGCACAGGTAACAGGTAACCAAGTCCTGGTTACGACCCAAAGCATGATATCAAGAATTGAGCCGCCAACCGATTTCTTGTCAGAGCTGAGGAGAAGAGCAACAAAACAATCTATTGCAGAAACAATTTCAAAAGTCTTACCAAAGCCAGTCTGCCCACCTAAATCCTCTATCATATTAAACAGTTGCACCAGAGGGAGGTCTAGTATGCAGCAACATATTTCTTCGGAACACAAGTCAGATAAGCCAAAATGTCTAGCCAGAACTATGAAAAAGAAAAACAGCTCAATTCATTCATGGTTAAGATACTTGACGCTTTTTCTCTGTTTAGCAATGTTAATTTGTACCTCATACTCCTCCTTTTCCTTGCACTGTTTTGGAAATTATATTTGAAACGAGCAAACACATATGAAGTGTTGAAAATAAAGATTGAATCTATGCAATTACATTTTTTGATTCATCAGAAGAAATATATTAGATAGTGGAATTTCTTTGTCGATGTTGAACAATCGTCTTACATTCTTTATCTATTCTACTCGCATGTCATTTCTCAAAAGATTATTGTAAGTGAACTAGGTTTCTTTGCAATTTCTGGAACCATTAACAAAATCTATTTCTTTTTTCCTTTTTTTGTCTGTTTTCATTCACGGTTTGAGTTTTTTTTTTTTTTTTTTGAAAGCAAAAGTCTTGTATTTATAGGAGGTGGGATAAAAAATCCAAAGGGCCAAAAAAAGAAATTGGGCTGGATAATGGGCCCAATTTGTGCTCCAATCGACTATTCCCACCCAACCAACCTTACACTCGAGTTTAGAGTCCAGACCCGAGTTGCCACACAGCAAATCTAGGCCTAGCCCTCTGTTCTGCCGCCCGCATAAGCAAAGCCACTCCGTTTTCTTCTGGTTTACCTTCTCCTTCCTTCGCCATCGCCGCACCGCTACGGTCCGATTTTCTTGATCTTTTACTCCGGGATACTCTACCTCTGCTGCAACAATGGCGACGGTGATGCAAAAGATTAAAGACATCGAAGATGAGGTAAGGTTTTTATATATGGCTTAGAGCTCAAATCACTGAGATTCTCCCGTAACCATATGATGGAGAAAAACAAGGATTGGTTCCGATGGTCCTTTGTTACTTTTCGAGTTTTCTTTTGTTACTGAACCAGTGTTTCTAAGATGAAGATTTTGAAGTAGGTTTTATTTTATTAAAAAAATGGAGCAGATTAAAGTTTTAATTAATTGCATTTCATAATGTTTCACGCTTCGAAATCCATATAGTTTATGGTTTTTTGCGCAGTAATTTCACTTGAAATGGTTGTAGAAGAAAATAAATTATAGTAAAACTGTTTTTAGAGATTTTATTGTTATAATTTTATAATAAAATTTCAAATTTTTGTTTCTATATGTCCTTGAGATATTGGGTTGTTATGATATGAAATTTATATGTTTATATTTATTGCAGATGGCAAGGACACAAAAGAACAAGGCAACAGCTCATCACCTTGGCTTGCTTAAGGTAGACATACTTTTGCTTCTTGTTACTTTTCATGCCACTCTGCTTAGGTTTCATTTACTTATTATTGGTTGGAGAAGTGTTTGGCAAGTTTCGAACAAAGTAAAAGTGGTGATATTCTGTAATGTTGAAATACTTTTCTGTTTGTGAGAGATAAAATTGGAGTTTAAATTTATATACATTTGGCATTTTTGGCCTCATGTTTAGATGGTGATGCACGGCTGTTCGTTTGGTCTCGGTTTATTCAGTTTCCATTTGCATTCTATTCAGTGCTTGACAGATGAAACTGCAAAAGTGATCTGAAATCATTGCAGAAAAAGCAAAAATTGAAGATGGTTTCTGCTTTTCTTTTGTTGGTAATATTCTTTGATTAAAATGATTAATGTGGTTTTGCTTGTCCCAGGCTAAACTTGCAAAGTTACGCAGAGAACTCCTTACTCCTTCCTCGAAAGGAGCTGGTGGTGCCGGGGAAGGTTTTGATGTTACAAAGAGTGGAGATGCAAGAGTTGGTCTGGTAGGCTTCCCTTCAGTTGGGAAATCTACTCTGCTAAACAAATTAACGGGAACTTTTTCTGAGGTATGAATGTTCTTTCTGTTATAACAACGTGGATAATGTCTGTTATTATCTTTTGTTATTCTAAGTTTATCTAGAGTGTTAGTAAGTACAAACATACTAATTTGTCTATGGCAAATCTTCTCTAGCTTCCTATTGCAGTGAGAGAATGTTTCGGTAATATTTCTACTAAAGCTTAGGTGGTTTGAGTATTGTGGGGTTGGAGAAGATGAACTTATCTTCTTTTTCATTTTTTAATCAGTTGTGGGTTATTGATTTTTAGCAAATTGAAGCAAGAGTACTTTAGAATTTAGTTCATATTGCATGATTAATTCCTTTATTTGAAAATCTTCTAGGATATTAGATGTGCATATGTATCGCAAAGTTTCTTTTCCTTTTTGCTGGAGTTGGGGGATGGGAAGGGATGAACACAGAATATTCTTAATTTAGGTTTAAAATGAGTTTTGCCTATCTTCTGAAGACTCATGAACTTCTGTTCTTTCTGCTTTATAGGTTGCTTCCTACGAGTTCACCACGTTAACTTGCATCCCAGGTGTGATCGTGTATAGAGGGGCCAAAATTCAGGTATGTTAATTTTTATGGTTTTCCAGTTCAGTGTTGAAGCTGAAATTTTAATTAATGTTGACTTTAACTGTGATGATGGTGGATTGTATCTTAGCTGAGAAATGGGTAATATGAATGTTATTTATCCCAGAATGCTTTCATTTTAAACATTTCAATTAATTAATAAAGGGTAATTAGTTATTCTTATCTGCAAAAATTTAAAGTGTCCCTTGATGAATTAACACATACAAGAGGACAAAATAAATTTGTGCGTACTGTGTATCGCATACAGTTCTCTTCAGGTGCAACTTTATGATGTTCTTGCTTTTTTCTTTCTTTTTTCACCTTTTTTTTTTCAATTTTTTCCTTAAAAATAACAAAGAGGAAATTCTAATGCTTTTCTAAATTGATTGACAGTTGTTGGATCTCCCTGGAATTATTGAGGGGGCTAAAGATGGAAAAGGTAGAGGGAGACAGGTAAAATTGACCATTCCTTACTTTTATTTCTTTTCATTTTCTGGAAAAAAGAAAATGTGTTGGTCATGTGATTGGTTAGTTCTCTATGCTTCTGATTCATGATTGCTGCTTGTCCTTATTCTTCTTTATGAATATATTAAAAATGCTGTCTTTCCAGGTTATCAGCACTGCTAGGACATGCAATTGTATATTAATTGTCCTTGATGCAATAAAGCCTATAACTCACAAGCGTCTGATTGAGAAAGAGCTTGAGGGATTTGGAATAAGGTAATATTGGTGTACTTCTTTGACAATTTCACTTTTGTGTGCATTATACATTCTTCATTAGTCAAATTTCTTGGTAATCCTCCATTTTTTGGGAATCATAAAGCATATTAAATATGAGTATGACAACTTGACGCACGTTTGTGGATTACCACCTTTGTCTGGAGAAGTGTTAGCAAGTGCCACTATAAATTTTCTTCAATTGACTTCTAGTTTGAAACATTCATGGATTCATGCCAACTCTTCAATGATTTTTTTCAGGAGACTCTTCAATTAATATTTAGTCCTTTTTTATGTTGGAGCAACATGTAGAGCATGGGTTTGCTTTCAAGACTCTTCTGATGTTAAAGAAGTGGTCAAATCATTATTTAAATGGAGCAATGATTGCTTTTGTGGTTGTCATTTGTTTTAGTATATATTTCTGACACTTTGTTTTCTATCATTTATTTATGAGCAGATTGAATAAGGAACCACCCAATTTGACATTCAGAAAGAAAGACAAGGGTGGTATTAATTTCACCTCAACTGTTGCAAACACCCACCTTGACCTTGAAACTGTTAAGGCAATATGTAGTGAATACAGAATTCACAATGCTGATATAACCCTGAGGTATGATGCGACTGCTGATGACCTAATTGATGTCATTGAAGGCAGTAGGATATACATGCCTTGCATCTATGTTGTGAACAAGATTGACCAGATTACACTGGAGGAGCTTGAGATTTTGGATAAACTTCCTCACTATTGCCCGGTCAGGTACTTTATTTTCTCCATTCTATAAAAATTTCCAATTGTTTCCCTTGCTAATCCCTGTTTGATCTTGGGTTTGCTCAGGCAAAGTGGTTTAAATAATTGAAATGTGTCTGCTTTTAGTTTCCTGACATGGATTTAATTTTTTGAAATTCTAAATTTTTCCTCGAGAAACTTTTAACTCTTTCCACAGAATTACATTGGATGTGTCTTGAACTTCAACATTACAATATTCAACATCTCCACTTGATATATTTAGATATGAATCTGGCATTCAATCACACATAATTGTTACATGTTGATATCTCAGGAAAATCTTTAACTCTGATGTCCAAAGTAATTGTGGTCTGGTCTCATATCTTAGTTGTCCTCCAACCAGCATCCCTTTACCTGGTCCTTTTCCTTTAATTGCTTTTGCTTTTTTGTTTGTATATCAGAATTGTGAAAATCTGTAGCTTTCATAGCAACTTAAGCACCAATCACCAGTGTAATTTTCTTGCTGTTTGCTTCATTGGGTAGGTCAACATGAGCAACAATGGCAGATTTTAGGGTCATGTTTCTTTGGGTTTGACAAACATTGAGCAGCTTATGACATGACATTAATGGTGAACTGGCACTATTTTGTCCTGTGTGTATCCCTGTCCATGTCTAATCCAATTCCGGTTTAGTGTTGAAGTGTCTGCAACATAGGTGCTAATGCTATTATCTTGCATTTATGTCTATTTTTAATAATTTATTGATCTGATTGCCTTGTAGTGCCCACCTGGAGTGGAACCTAGATGGTCTGCTGGAGAAGATATGGGAGTATCTTAACTTGACTCGCATATACACAAAGCCCAAAGGGCTGAATCCAGACTATGAAGACCCTGTTATTCTGTCATCAAAGAAGAGGACTGTTGAGGACTTTTGCGAACGAATCCACAAAGACATGGTCAAACAATTTAAGTAGTAAGTATGCTACCTCTAAGTTCTAGGTGTTGAATGCTGTGTTATAACAAGTGACATGTAGAATCATTGCTTGCACTTGTTTAACATGTAACATGTATTTATTATTCTTCCCAAAGGTTTAATTTGGTACTTCAAGAACCCTAGATCTACTTTAAGGTTGCATGCAAAGCAAAAGCAGGCAAAACTAACATGGAACACATTTTCATGTTGCTTCAATTTTAACTATTTGTGACTGAAATAATAATCATACAAGCGCATGGGTATCAAAGCGGAATTATATTGTAATCATATTTTGTTCCCTTATAATCTTTGACAAAATGGTTGATCTTTTCCCTTGGCATGCCAAAACTAAGGAGCTAGCATGAGCTGCTTGCCATAATTATTTGCATTAACCATTTTTGTCTTACTGTTTCTCTGTATTGCTTACTTTTTATTCTTCCCCGTTTCCTTTTTAATTTTGTGAATCTTACTTTGGACAAATAATGCAGTGCTTTGGTATGGGGGTCAAGTGCCAAACACAAGCCTCAAAGAGTTGGCAAGGTTGGCTCTGAAAATCCC